CTGACATTCATGATGGCTCGACCCCATGTTTGATTACACACCGCAACGGAGTCTCCTGTGCACTAACAGCTAGCGTATGTACTTCAGGTACATCTGTCCGCGAGTGCAGAAACCACTTATCTAAGTGTGAAGAGGGTGCGAATATAGCATTCAAAGGTACGTTCTAGGCCGCAAGAAATCACGTTTTGCTTTGTCGACTGCCTTATCTAGCCTCTTTGAGCCTCTCTGACTACCCTGACTGTACCAAGTAGTGCTTGGCCGCGGTCAGTTGCAATGCGTCACCCCTAGAACACCAGAGCCGGACCGAAAACCCTAAACTCAGAGCCCAAGCCCTAAAACCCAGGGAGCTCTGAGATCTCTGAATATCAAACCCTAAGCCCTAAACCTGGCCTCTGTGAGACGGCAGCGAGTCGGAACAACGGGCTTGAAGAAAGTAGTTGAACCCGAAACACAAAGCCCTAAACCCGAAACCACCAAAGAAATCACTCGGCTATAATCCGCAAAAAGCCGAGATTCCCTTCAACGAGCCCCGAAGCCGTAAAAAGATAGATACATATCATACTCCGGCAAAACTTAGATTCCCGAAAGAGTTGCTACCTACCCTTAACCCTAAACCCTAAACCCCCAAACCCTACACCCTAAAGGCCATACACCCTCAACTTCTACGTTTCCTGGGTACCGAGGCATGGGCTGGATCTCGTGCCCTGTGCTCAGTGTATCGTCTCAAAGCCGCGAGCTTTTTTTCTGAGAAAGAGAGGTTTAAGGGTTTAGGGGTTTGGGGGTTTAGGGGTTTAGGGGTTTAGGGGTTTAGGGTTTAGGGTTTAGGATTTGGGGTTTAGGGTTTAGGGTTTTAGTGTTTGGGGCTTAGGGTTTAAGGTTTGGGTTCTTTAAAGTGAAGGGTCTCGGAGTTTAGGGTTTCGGGTTTAAGGTCCCGTAGGGTTTGGGGACCCCGGGAAGGGTTCCTTTAGCGGACTCCGTGGAGGTTGCAACATGGGCTGTGATGTAGAGTCACCATACAGGCACTAGGGTGGTAAGATCGAGTGCTAGATGGCTAAACTGGGAAGATCCGCATTCCAAGGCTCCCAAGCCAAAACCTTCAGGTTAAGTGAGTTTGACCCTAAACCCTAAACCCTAAACCCCAAAGCCCCAAAGCCTAAACCAACCCCAAAGCCCTAAACCCTAAACCCCCAAAACCCCAAAAACCCTGAGGTCATCTGTCTTGGATTCCGTGCCATGGAGCTACTGGAAGTCGGGGCCTCAAACTGACAGGAAGAGTTACGCCGGAAGCACCCTCATACGGTCGATGATATGCATCAAAGACTCTTCGTACATGCTTGCAGTGGCCCCAGTAGCCCCAAACTGAGAAAAAATCAGGCCCGGAGAGCAGCCAGCGAGGAGACTCGACTTCTTCAGCTGTCGGGGTTTAGGGGGGGGGGGTTTAGGGTTTAGGGTTCAGGGCTTGGGGCTTCGGGTTTAGGGTTTAGGGTTTAGAGTTTCGGATTTCTCATAAAGCTCTTTTTGATCCCTATGGAAACATACAGTGGCCCAAACTCCCAACCTCAAGTGTTCTTTCAGTGCAGCAAAGGGACCGTGCCGGCCTTCAGGCCATCACCTGGGTCTCTGTGGCTTCGTTTCTCCTCTTTGTGCTTTTTGAAGTATCGTTCTTGCGACTCTCCACCGGTTCCCGCCTAAACCCTGAGCTCAAAAGGGGGATGCCCCCCGTCAACATACTGTACTTAAAGTCCCGTCAACATGCCAAGTAAGACGTTGACATGCCAAACAAACTACCGTGAACATGCCACAAAGGTAACCATTGACATGCCTTGGGGCCGCCGTCGACATGCTCCCCAGGTCTGATGCTTCCAGACATAGGAACATACATAGTATTACTCAGTGGTCTTGTGAAGCTGCGCTGCATGGAGTGCTTTCAGGTTTTGCGAGTATACTATACCCTAACCGCCCCCGTTCGTACACTCTAAACTCTAAACCCTTTCGCAAACGTGGAGCACACCTCCCGGAGAGAGTAAAAGTGAAAAATGTAAACCGGCCCGTCAACGTGTCAAGAAGGGCCCCGTCAACGTGTCAATGGCAAAGCCGCGAGGTAGGTCGCCCTAAACCCTGAACCTTAAACCCTGAACCCTACACCCTGAACCCTAAACGTTAAACCCCTAAACCCCAAGCCCTAAACCTCCAAACCCTAAACCCTAAACCCCCAAACCCTAAACCCCTAAACCCCCAAACCCTAAACCCTAAACCCCCAAACCCTAAACCCCTAAACCCCAAGCCTTAAACATGCGAGAGGATTCTGGATTGGCTCTTCCTTGGAGATCTCGCGGACGCTACGGACCTGGGGCTGCCTCTAGGGCTACCATGAGGGTTTAGGCTTTAGGGTTTAGGGTGAGGGTTTAGGCTTTAGGGTTCTGTACAGGTTTAGGGTTAGGGTTTAGGGTTTAGGGTTGAGGGTTTAGGGTTTAGGATCTCGTTACCTATGGGTACTTAGAAAAATCTTACTCGGGTTATTCGAATCTTTGAGAAGCAGCTTAAAATTGTAATTTTTGCTAGGGCCCAAGTTCCTAGATGGGTTCTGTAGGCGTTACTATAAGGGTTTAGGGTTCAGGGGGTAGTAGTGCTAGTCCTTGATGCTTGTTAAGGAACTCACGCTGAGTTGCCATTTGGGTTTAGGGTTCACTGTTTTAGGGTTTGGGCTTTAGTGTTTAAGTTACCAGAATAAAGAAGGAAACCCTATCATGTACTGTAGATCCTTATTACGGCAGCTTCAAAATAGGGGACCCTAAGATAGTACCATAAATAGTAGGATCCTTATTACAAGGCCCCCAAAGTTAGGTACCTCTTGTTTTCGGGACCTCCCAATTACCCTAAACCCTAAACCCTAAACCCGAAACCCTAAAGCCTAAACCCGAAACCCTAAACCCTAAACCCACTATAAGTTCTTTAACAATAACCCAGGCTTGAGCAGAGGCAGATCCAAGGCGTCCTGAACCTCATTGGCAGGGCTCCCGGCTTCTGCGTCAGCTGGGTTTAGGGGTTTAGGGGTTTAGGGGTTTAGGGTTTAGGGTTTAGAGGTTTAGGGTTTAGGGTTTAGGGTTCAGGGTTTAGGGTTTAGGGTTTAGGGGGATCCCTTTTAAGGGTTCGTGGAGGGATTCTATACAGGCTGCTATAGGGGTTCAGGGTTCAGGGTTAGTAGTAACTTAGTACCCTTCCTGGGTTCTTGTTCAGGAAATTAACTCGAACTACTGTTGATGATCTGAATCCTGCATTACCTTAGGGACCCTAAGCTAGCACTAGACCTTGCCCCGAAATTAACCGCCCAACCCGCCCCCTAAACCCACCTCACCAATCATCAAAGCCTACACATACCCAACACAGAACTTCTCATCCCAAACCCCACCACACAAACTCAACCAAACACCTACATACCACCCTATACCCATAACCTTATGCAAAACCTAACCCTAACCCGATAAAATATTACATAATTTTATGTAATATCTTACCCAGGAAAACGGGGCGAACCCCCTTGTAGAGTTTATAGCTAATGACTACATACTCTTTTCCAGAGAATGGTACAGATGCGCCTTCAATGTAATCGTCTAGCTTTCGACCTCGTCGATGGCTTTGTGCTGAAAAGTCAGCAACTACAACCGCTCGCCTGGCATGTTTCTGGCTGCTGGTCTTATTGTCAATGCTTGCATGCTTGCTTCGCACTCAGATAGCAACAGATTTGCAAACAGCCATGCCAGCAATCTCTGCGATTGGATCGCCTGTTGACAAGAGTTTGGTTCAAGACTCCGTGCTGCCATTGTTGTCGCACGTACTTTAGCCCACTTTGCCCCTAGCTGCCCCATCCTGTGCTGTGGTTAGGTAGGACGTCCAAAGCACGATCAACATCTAAAGTTCTTTCCACTTTCGCGGTGAAGATGGAAGATTTCAGCGCTGTGGCAGACACACGTGACGACCTGCTTGCTTGGGTGGCTTGCCGCTTGCAGGGCTTTAGTGAAGATGTCGTTGTCAAGGTGCAAACCTTGCTGGCACGGTCTTCCAAGAAAATCATGCTGGAGTACTCGACAGACCAGCTCCTGTTCTTGCTGAGAGCTGATCTGGAACAAATCACTGCCTACCAGATCACAGTCACCCTCCACAGCGGCATGCATCCGGGCTCCAGCGAACCTTCTTCCCAAGTGCCGCAGCAATCAAATAGGAAGTTTGTCTCGCCCTGCAGTAAGTTCTGGCGACGTTGATTCGTTGCAAGTTTCATTGCTGTTGTTGCATCCAAGGTACTCCTCAACGGTTTCGAGAAAGGCACCAAGACATTGCTAATGCTGCTGAAAAACATACTTGAGGTGAAGCCGATTGAAGAATCATCAGCTCATAGTTATGACAGGGCCCAATGGTTCGCCAACGTGCAGGATTATTACATTGGAGGCAAGTTTCAACCTTGGTGCAGTGTGCTTGGTTTCCTCTTCCCCAACGGCAGGTACGATTTCGGAATTTCAGTGGTTGCTGAGCATCTCATCCCCCATCAGCAAGCAACCACCGCCCATATGCTTGCCATCGAGTTGCATCATCCGCGGAACGGCATACTCTTGTGCAGGCATCTGGAGAAATTATTTCAAGCAGGGCATTGGTCCCTAGTCCCGCTATCTTACGACGACGAAACCCACTTGCTGTCCTGCCGTGTCCATGTTTCGCAGGATTACCGGGAGACACGACTTTATGACTTTTGCGATGCAAAACCCCCGAGGCCTCTAATGGTAAAGCTCGGCCCAGGCCAGCTTGAGCACCTGAGCATGGAAGCATTGCACGGTCAGGAGGTGAAACTGCGAAGGCCGTACATCAGGTCACTCTTCCTCAAGAATTTGATGGCTTCTGGTGAGCATAAGGAACTTCCCAACCCCATGCATAGGAGCCGAATTGGGACTTACAAGTCGTTGTGCACGGAGCTTGAACGGATGAATATGGATGTCGTGCTCGCGGGTAGTGTCTCCCAAATGGACGATGACGAGGAACTGCAGCCAGAAGCCGGTTTTGGAATTTCCCCACCGACGTTGATTATTGGACAGTTGGAGGTGCAAGAACCGGCGAAGAGCTCGTCAAGCCAAAGTAGGGAGCCGATTAGCACGGACCAGCAAGGTCAAAGGAGGATCTGGCGGAGCAGAACTTACTCTCTTAGCTGATGAGCCCATTCCGGAGCTTTGTTGTTATAACGAAGGGCCCATGCTGACAGATGAAGCCAAACTGTGAAAGAAGCGGTGGCGAAGAAAAATCCATGTGTGTGCGATACGCATGCTGCGCAACGCCCCTTCCTTCCCACTGCAACCTGACGCCCACGGCAGGTCATCAACGACGAGCACGACAGTTATACCAACAAGTTCCAGGCTGTGGCGCTGGCTTTCTCTGTTTGGAGTTTAGTTAGGGTTGGGGGATTGTTAGGGTTGCTTAGTTTAGGACTAGGGTTAGCCATAGCGTTCATAGCGACGTTGCTTCTTGAAGCCTTCGCAGTCTGCTCTTCCAACATTGAGGACGCAGAAGTCCCAAAGCGCCGGATGGCGGCCAGGCTTTAGGTTTAGATGTTTAGACTGTCGGGTTTAGGCGTTCAGACTTTCGGGTTTAGGTGTCCGTACTTTCGGGCTTGCGTTTTAGAGGCTTAAACCTTTAGCCCCTTTGTCCTTTCAGGGTTGTTATGGTTTACGTGTTCGGGGTTGTTGTGGTGTGGTTTAGGTAGGTCTGATTTTTTTTTAAAAAAGGAACGCGCCCCCTTTTTGTTGCTGTTTTTCGCGTCCTTGTGTTTCCCCCTTCGTGTCAAAAAGCGCTCCTTTTTTTCAATATTTTGTTTTTTGGGTTGGTTTAGGAATTTGGTTATTTACATAGCTCCGCGTGCCTCGCCTTGCCTTGGTGGGGTGATGGGCGGGTTCAATGTGTTTTTTGCGTTTTTGAGATGGTTTTCCCTATTAAAACAAACCAGAAACAAAAAAACCCAAAAAACAATTTTTAAAAGTACTTGTATGGCCAAAAAACCAAAAAATCAATTTTTAAAAGTACTTGTATGGCCAAAAAAACCAAAAACAATTTTTAAAAGTACTTGTATGGCAAAAAATCACAAATACAGCATCAAGGTTATGGATTTTATGGCGTTTTCAACAAATAATTCTAATAATTTCTGTCATTATTATTAGAACGATTATTCACCTTATCAAACTTTTATACATATCTATCACCATCTTTAGTAATGTTGTAGTACTGTAATGTGGTGGGTTTAGGTGTTAAGATTTCACTATTATTCAACTTTGCTAGATAAGCGTTTCGTTTATTCTGATAAGTTATGTCTTTATCCGGTACTGGTTTATTTAACGCTTTTGCTTTCTCGGTGAGCTTTGCATCAATCTCACCTAACTTATTATAAATCTGTTGGAGGCTTTGCATAACTTCATCCTTAAAGCATTCCATACTCAAATCAACTTTTTCCATATATAAAATTGTTAGATTAAAAATTTTACCAAAAGTTTTAGATTAAAAATTTTACTAAATATTTTTAGAATAAAAGTTTTTCATAAAAATGATATGAAAAACTTTTGAATTCAACAAACTAATTAAGCCTTATGCTTATGATAAGACACTATATTAATTCATATTGCACTGTTCATTGGGGCGGAAGGTGCCGAGGATTTCCACATTTTCAGTTCTCGTTTCTCACATCTCTTGTGCAGTGGCCTGCCTGTCGCGTTCAGCACGCGAGGCTCTGTCCGAGCGTCAATATAATATACATGTTATTTTTTAGATATTAATCCATACTACCTAAACTATTTGTTTTCAACTCAGCGATATCCTTTTTCATTTCTTTCATTTCTGTTTCAATCTTATCTATGCGTTCTTCATTTTCCTCCGGTGTTATTTTATGACTTCCAAACCCTGTATCACATATTTCAACACTTCCAATTTGATAAGTTGTATCTGGTTTAAAAATACCATCATCGGGAGTTTCCACTCGGCCTTTGCCTATCTTAAAACTGCTTCTATCTTCAACAACATTCACAACAACTTTATTATTTTCAGTTGTTGTTTTCGTTTCTTTATGATATGTATTTTTCCTAAACTTACAACATAAACAATTCACGCCGTCTCTGCTTAGTTGAAAACCACCAATTTTATTATCTTCTTCTTTACTATCCTTCATTATTTCTTTTATTTAGATTTTTTAATATTTTTAACATAATTTATTAATACTTTACATAACTCTAACAGATTATAGCAACATCGCCTATATCTCGGTGTTATAATTAGCACCTGTTCTATTTCTTCTATATTATTGATTACTTGAATATAATTTATATTCGCCATATATTATTAACTATAAATTAATCTAACTATTAATAATAATGACAAATATTCCAATAGTTAAACCAGTAAATGTTAAAGAATACGACTTTAAGCAATCTAAATATGAAGTAGCTCCGCGCCTACCGTTCTCACAAATAATAACAGGCCCTTCCGGAAGCGGTAAAGGCATTTTATTACAATCAATGATATTAGATATTTATAGAGATGTCTTTGCTCGTATTTATGTTTGGTCTCCTTCAATTTCAGTTGATGCTAACTGGACACCAGTTAAAAAATATATTCAAGACGAGTTAAAGGTTGATTTAGAGAAAGAAAAATGCTTCTTTGATGAATACAACCCTGAAGAATTGGAAGCAGTCATTAAAAGACAGCATAAGGTAGTAGAATACCAGAAAAAGAACAATCATAACAAGTTGCATTCAATATTAATAATTGTTGATGACTTTGCAGACAGTAAGGCTTTTTCAAGAAACTCACCTTTGTTAAATCAATTATATGTGCGTGGGAGACATAATGCAATTAATATTATAACAAGCACGCAAAAATTTAGCGCGCTTAGTCCTTTCATTCGTGTTAATAGTCGCCAGTTATTTTTCTTTAGGTTAAGGAATTATAAAGAAATTGAAACCATGGTAGAAGAACTGAGCGCGGTATTGATTAAAAAATCAACCATAGCAGACGCTAAAAATCTCGCCGAAGCAAAAAAACTTATGTTAGAAGTCTATAATATAGCAACGGAAGAACCATATTCATTTTTGTATATAAACTTAATGAAGCCGGATGTGAATGATATGTTTTATAAACGATTTGATGCTAAATTAGTAATTGATTAATACATAAATATGTAGTAGTATATAATTACAATGCAAACACTTTTAATGTGTGGTGGAATGTTATATTTATATTCTTGTTGTAGTATTAAATTAGACAGAATTGAACATAATGATGAATTGAAAATTGTTATTAACTTCAGGCCTTTTTATCCAATAGAATATTTAATAGAATTAATTCCTCATAGAACAGTTGAAAATTAATAATATTATGAATAAAATAATATTATTAATTAAAATAATGAGTTGCTACACAAATTTATAGCCGGTAATTTATAATACACTTTATCAGACTTCTTTTCTTTTATTTCTTTTAAATCTCTTATTACTTCTTTCAACACTTTAATCTGTAGTTTATCAATATTACTCAGGTCTAAACTATCTTCGTTAATGTTTTCAATATCCTCCATATGGTTGTTATTATTTGTTGATACTTTACTACCCATATAAACTAAATTACATATTTTTTATTTTGATTTCGCTTTTGCCTTAGGCTTAGGCTTCTCATCATCACTATCTTTATTATCTTTCTT